GAATGATTAAGTATCGTTCTAAAAGAATGATAAAAAAAAAATTGTTCTTTTAGAATGATGAAGTATCGTTTTGAAAAAATGATAAAAAAAACATTATTCTTTCAGAATGATGAAGTATTGTTCTAAAAAAACAATAAAAAAACATCGTTCTTTCAGAATGATAAAGTTTGTTCTGAAAGAACGATAAAAAAATATTGTTCTTTTGGAATGATGAAGTATCATTCCAAAAAAATGATAACAAAATCTTTCTTTCAGAACGATGATGTATCGTTTCTCTAGAGACGATTTCTATCATCTCTTTTGGAATGAATGTATTGTTCCTTTAGAGACGATTTCTATCATTTTTTTGAGACAATTTCTATCGCTTCTTTTGGGAATGAATGTATCGTTCCTTTTGAGACAATTTCTATCGTCTCTTTTGTGGACGAATATATTGTCTCTTTGGGACGATTACTCTTGGAATGAATTTACAATTTTCGCAAAAATTGGCTCAACAGATTTCGACCAGTGAGATATAATCGATTTGTTATCAAATCTTGAATCTAACTAAAATTTTGCTGATTATTATAACTGAAAGGTTTTAATGCTGAAATAATGCTAAATTATGTGTAGTGTAACAAATTATTATCGATTTTATAACTTAAGCTGAATCACATGACCGAATCAGCTGAATGTTTACGAAAGATCTAATGCTAAAATAATGCTAAATTATGTGTAGTATAACAAATGATTATCAATTTTTGTAACTTAAGCTGAATTTTGCCAAATCATATGACTGAATCAGCTGAATGTTAACCGAATAGTATTAGTGTCAAATGAAATGATTTCGACTAGTGTAAGGCACTTAAGGACAAGTAGTAAATTGCCTTCCTAAAGTTCTAAATTCATTAAAGAAGATACTTCTAGTATCTTTGTTAAGTTTTTTTGTCGTCCCTATAAATTTTTCATGAGGCAAAATTTTTGATAAGTCATTAGGGCTAACTTATAGCATTAGGCATTTTATTCTATCGAAAGCTTAACTCATTGCCTCTGGGGTCTGACAGTTCTGAATAAAGATGGTAACAACAATTATTTTATTATATTGCAACAAATAAGAAATTAATTAAATGTTATAACATTATTAACTTAATTAACCGCATGTTGCAATTAGTTGCAATTATTATAGGAGACAGCAATTAGTTGCAATTATTACAGGGAATCGCAATTAGTTATAATTACTATGATTAATTGTAACTTAAATTATATTATAACAATATGTTGCAACATAGTGTTATAATGATAAATAATTGTTGCAATTAAAAATAATATGTTGCAACTTATAATGTTGCAACATATGTTGCAATTAATTTTAGCTTATGTTGCAATATTTTGTAAATTTGAAATCAATTGCTGTACCATCTTTAATTGTGATTTAATTGATGAAATCGTTCTAATCAAACAATTCGTTTATCATTCAATAGAAAGATATTTATGATTGTTTCATCAAACAATGCTTAAATCGTTTGATTAAACGATATTTTGGATTGTTCTATCAAACGATACTTAAATCATTCGATTGGAATGATATTTTGTATCGTTCCATCAAATGATACTTAAATCGTTCAATGGAACGATATTTTGGATCATTCTATCAAACAATGCTTAAATCGTTCGATGGAACGATATTTTGGATCGTTCCAATCGAACAATACTTAAATCATTCGATTGGAATGATATTTTGGATCGTCTTATCAAACAATGCTTAAATCATTCGATGGAATGATATTTTGATCGTTCTATCAAATGATGCTTAAATCATTCGATGGAATGATATTTTGGATCGTTCTAATCGAACGATTCATTTATCATTCAATGGAATGATATTTTGATCATTCCATCAAACGATGCTTAAATCGTTTGATTAATGTCATGATCCATTCTCCCAGTTATTTGTCGTACACGATTTAATAGATCATCCTCATCATTGGTTTCCTTTGCTTGTACCTTTTGTGTTTATACTTGAGATTCTATTTGTAAAGTTGCTTCTCTTTCATATGTTAAATAAAAAGATTCATGTCGTGTGATATTATGCCTTTTTGTACGGTATGCAAATAATGTGGAAGAAACAAAGGTATCCTAATCATTCTTATTTTCATTTGCAAATTTTGCCAAAGTTTCACATAGTGTTCTATTAAATCTTTCCACAAGTCCATTGGTCTGAGGGTGATACGCAGTAGTCAATTTGTGTTTTACTCCCAATTCATTATACAAGGAATCTAACATTTCATTGACGAAATGTATTCCTCTATCTGTCAAAAGCTCCTTTGGACATCCATGTCTACAAATGATATCTTCATAAAAGAAGGGAACTACTGATGATGCTTTTGCATTTAGTAATGCTCTTGCTTCTGGCCATTTTGTTAAGTAATCTGTTGCTACTACAATATACTTATTTCCTCGTTTAGTCATTGGTAGAGGTCCAATAATGTCTATACCTACTCGATCAAAAGGTTGTCCTACTTTTATTGGGTGTAAGGGTTCAGTTCTCTTATTCTTGCCTCTTCTTTGACATTTATCACAAGTTTGAACATATTGTCAAGCATCATCGTACATCTGTGACCAATAGTATCTAATTTTGATTCTCCTGTACGTTTCTTCTAATACAAAGTGTCCAGCCAGTGAATCAGAATGTAAATTATACAATATTATATCTACTTCATTAACTTTGACAACTTTTAGTGGACGGTGTAGTTCTTGCTTATTCTTTTTATAAAGCTGTCCTTCTATTACAATAAAATATCTTGACTTTCATTTGATTGCTGCTTGCTGTTGTTGGTTTAATTGTGTTGGCATTTGGAGTTCCGTGAGATAGTATACTAGTGAAAAATATGTATCTGAGTTCATGTTGGGTTAAATTAGAAAAGAATTATTGTTAGAGTATCCGTTATAAACAAATCCATTTACTTATCGAGCTTGTGGTTGAAAAATTTTTTTAGTGTTGTATTCAACTTAATGTATCTACATTTGTATGAAGTTTTCCAGGTCGATTAATAATTTCAATATCATATGAGTTAAGTATCATTAGCCAACGTCCAAGTCTTCCAACAGGGTTTGTCATATTCTTTAAATAAGTCAAGGCAGCGTGATCAGTGATTACTGTAAATTTATGTCCATGCAAGTAATGATGATAATATTTAACAGCCCAAATTACAGCCAAGTATTTTTGTTCTGTAACTGAATATTTTCTCTCAGGTGGTCTTAATACTCTACTTGCATATAAAATGACTCGTTCTCTTTTCTGTTCATCCTTTTAAGAAAGTATTGCTCCTAGAGCAAAAGAAGAAACATTAGTGTAAAAACAAAGGGTTTGTGAAAATCAGAATATGCAAGTATTGGTGGTGTGATCAAACAATTTTTAAGTTGTTCAAAAGTATCTTGTTGTTGTTGTGTTCAGATATAAGGTGTATTCTTTTTTAACAGTCTATTTAATGGTTCAACTGTATTTGCAAATCCTTTGATAAATCTTCTGTAATAGGATACAAGGGTAATGAATCCTCTTAATTGCGTCAGGTCCCTTGAAATGGGAAAATTCCTAATTGTAATTACTTTATCTGGATCTGTTTGAATTCCTTCTCTGCTGATAACATGTCCAAGAAAAGGTAATTTCTGCTCAAAGAAAAAACATTTCTATGGACTTAATTTTAGTCTGGCTTGTCGTAATCATAGAAATACTTGTTCTAAATGTAGAAGGTGGTCGTCAAATGATTTTGAACCAATGTTGATATCATCAACATAGACGATTATATATTGCCATAAGATATCTTGCAAGACAGTATCCATTAACCTCTGAAATGTGACAGGAGTATTACAAAGACCGAAAGGCATAACATTGAATTCATAAGTTCCAAATCTGGTGATGAAAATGGTCTTTTCCCTATCTTTTGGTTCTAATTCAACTTGCCAGAATCCATTAGTAAGATCCAATGAAGTGAACCACTGTGAGCCTTGTAATGTTTCCAACATATCATCAATACATGGTAATGGATAATGATCCCTTTTGGTAACATTATTAAGCTTACGGTAATCAACACATAAGCGTTTCTTGCCATTCTTTTTTTCCACTACAACTACCGGTGAAGTCCATTGACTTTTTGATGGTTTTATTAAACCAGTTTTCAATAGTCGATTGATTTCTTCCTTTATGAACTGTTGATTGTTATATGAGATGTGATAGAACCTTTGCTTTATAGGAGTCGCCTCTCGCCTCTCCAGTATCGATGGCATGTGTTATTACATTTGTTTTTCCAAACTGATCATGTTCCCAAATAAAAAGGTCAGTATATTGTGCTATAAAATTATCAAACTTTTCAGACTGTTCCAGCGTAAGTTTTTCAACATGAAAGTTCCCTTCTTCTGTTTCCTTATATTGATAGAAGGTTTCTCTTATGATTTGATTTTGTTCCGCTGGACTTTCCATTTCATGATCGATTGCCTGAACTTCTTCTACAGATAATTCATCTGTGTAGCAAAACAGTTCTTCTTGCTCTTCATCTTCATTATTAATCTCCTCATATTCTTCTTCCTCAGATTCTTCCTCACTTTTATTATCATTAATTGATTCGGTCCTTATTTTTGGGGATTGATGGAATTCAATTGGCACATTTATTGCATGATCGCCCTAGTAAAGGGTCATAACTTTATTTTTGTAACTTATTTCAGCGTCAGTCTTTTCTAACCAGTCATTTCCTATAATAGCGTCATAGGAATCTGTTCTAGTTACTATAGCATCAAAAGAAATTATTTTTCCTATTATTCTTAAGGGAACATTAGTAACTTTTCCCTAGAGGTCTTCTTCTTTCACCATTAACATTAACTATTATTGTATTGGATACAGCGTTACATTCCATTCCAAGTTCTTCCATTAATGCAGCGGATATAATGCATCCTGAAGAACCTGAGTCAACAATTAATGATATTTCCTTATTTTTGATAAGTGCTTAACAGTATAAGGCGGTTGACTTTTAGTTATTGTTTTTAATAGTCGTTTGATGTGTCTTATTTATTGCAAGGATGTCATCTTCTTCATTTTCAGCTGTGTCTATTTCCTTAGAACCAGTCGGTTCGTTTGATGCTTCATTATCATTGCTTGGTTTAGATCCAAATGGGAGTACTTCAAATGAAAATGGATTATCCACTTATGATACTTCGAGGCCTTTGCCTTTATTTAGTTTTCGATTAATTGGCTTCCTTAATTTATTTATTAGATCTCTCGCTACTTTAGGATTTGTTGCTAATAACTGTCCATTAGTTATGTTGGTTGGTTGATCAAACAGTTGTTATATGTTATAGAGAAGTACCATGTTAACTACAGGTAGCATGGCTAGAGGTTTTCTTTTTCCTTTTGGTTTGGTAATCCTTTTTGCAACTGTATCTCTTTGTTGATTTTCTCTTTCTCTGACAGAATCCTCTTCATTTATTACTCGTCTCCTTTTATTTATTAATGCTTCCTGTATTGATAAGTTAGAGGGAACAAAAGAAGGTTTCATACCGTTACCCTCGTAAGGTACACCTTCTAGTTTAAAGACTGATCATCTTGTTGTTATCCTAACAATTGTGCCAACAGTTGTAATACTTGATTATTGGGATTGTTTGGTAGATTATTATTAACTGGATTATTAAAAGGCAGTGGTATGTTAGCTGTTAAATTATTCGCTGGAGTTGGATTTACAATGTGCGGTGGATTAACTGGAACATTTGTTTGTTGGTTACTTTGGTTATTAAATAGAGTATTGAGAGAACAGTTTCTTTTGATATGACCAGGCTGTTCACAGCCATAGCAGGTAAGATTTCCACGATTGCAATTTGCAGAATAATTATTAAACTGATTGCTATTATTATTTGGCTGACTATTTTGTTGGAAGCCCATTTGATTATTCCTTTGATTGCTTTGATAGCTTCGCTTATTATTTCCTACATTAAGTTGTTGTACTTGTTGTGATAGTGCGGCGATAGCATTGTTTAAAGTATTCATTTGATTGTCAATAACTGAAGAGACACTATATTTATTCATATAGGCTTGTACTGTGGTAGTGTCTTTGTAGGTTAGTTCATATTGTTTAGCTCTTTCCAATGCCGCATTCCATGTCTAGTCATTAAATGGTTTTACTAACAAGTGAAGCTCTGGTAGAAGTCCGCTGACAAGTTGTCTGGCCTTGTATGCATCAGAATATTGAAATGCTGGTATCTTTACTCATTGATATAATTCAAATAATACACTAGCATAATCATCAACAGATTCGCCAGATTGTTGTCGTCTCTTCTCCAATTCAGTTATCCAAATTTCAACAAGAGTTTGTGATCTGAATGCAACGGGAAAGCCGGTGACAAAATCAGTGTTATTATTATTACCATCCCATGTCACAATACGATTTGCATAGTTAATTGCAAGTGCTTGGTTATTGGTCCACCATGTTGAAGCTGAATTTTTTAAATATGCTGATATAACTTCTAGCTTCCTGTTATCATTGATTCCATTTGCATTACAAGCACGTGTAAAGTCTTCTAACCAGCTAATTGGATCTTGATTTCCACCATAAAAATAAGGGAGGTTAGCAATACGTGATTCTCTTCAAGATGGATTAGCATTTATAGCATTTGCATTAGCCTGAAGTTGGTTAATCAAGTTGAAAACTCTATTGTTAGCATTAGGAGCAGGTGGTGCATTTGGATTAAAAATTCCGGCTATTTGTTATAAGGCTGCAGTGAGAGCTTGTACGTCAGCTTGATTGGCTGCCATTTCTTCAAATAGATTTTCTAAGTTTAAATCTTCGTCGGTATATAATAGACTGTTATTAGATAATTGATTATTAAATATATCACTAGAGATAATCGAACCAGTATCGTCGGATGTAACAGAAGGTGATATAGAGGTTGTTTCTGATATTTGATATAATATATTTAATGGATCTAGAGCAAATCCTCTTATCAGAATGAAGGTGTTGTATATGTTTTGTCTGACTACTACAGGGGACTCATCAAATCCAATGTTATAACGAATACTGAAAATGAGGTTGCGTAAAGCATCGTTTACTGTGTTAGCAGTGCCAATATAAAGATAGGTATAATTGAGTTCTTCCAAGTATTGTTGTTTATATCTGGTAAATGTCACTGCAGGATACTCAGCAGTAATCCAATTCCAAAAGTGTTAAAAACACTCGAATGTGACTTATTCTGGAGGATAACAAATATAGCAGGATCTATCACGGTAATACGCAGTAATATTATTCAAATTAAAATTGATATGCAATTGATTGTGTTGTCGATTATTCAAATAATGTTTATTAAACATAAACGTTTTTTTTTAATAAAAATAAAGTTTCTGGCATAAGGCACCAAGTATTACGGTCAGTTCTTTATGTTGCTTAAATGTTATAAGCAGACGGGTAATATATGTGGTAAGCAGAAGGTTTAATTTGTAGTTGAGATTAAGTAAAAATGTAGGTATCGGTAGTTTATTTAATATATACTAACAAATGAGTACTGCCTCAAACGTTGGCGCTTCTGTACTGTACAAATGTTCTAAATAATCAAACTAAACTAATCTAGACTATTCCTATAAGTCTTTACTCTGTATGTTTTTTCTCGACACACTGAATCTCTAAAGATTCTCAACTCATATTTATATAAAATAAAATATATATAATCGTTAACAATGTAAAATAAATAAACTAAATATAATTAATAAACTAAGTTAAATAAATAAACTAAAGAAAATAATGAAAATAAATTAAATAAATAAACTAAGTTAACTAAATAAATGACGTAGACGACGTAAACGAGGTTAACAAGGTTAACATAGTTTCTAAGGATCTACATTAGGAAGATCATTCTAATGATTTTCATGTAACAATATCGTTCTATCGAACGATTTAAGCATCTTTTGATGGAACGATCCAAAATATCATTCCATCGAATAATAAATGAATCGTTCGATTGGAATGATCCAAAATATCGTTCTATCAAATAATTTAAGCATCGTTTGATGGAACGATCCAAAATATCATTCTAATCGAACAATTTAAGCATCGTTTGATGGAATGATCAAAATATCATTCCAATCGAACAATTTAAGCATCGTTTAATAGAACGATCAAAATATTATTCCATCAAATGATAAATGAATTGTTAGATTGGAATGATCCAAAATATCGTTCCATCGAACGATTTAAGCATCGTTCGATTAGAATGATCAAAATATCATTCCATCGAACGATAAATGAATCGTTTGATTGGAATGATCCAAAATATTGTTCTATCGAATAATTTAAGCATCATTTGATGGAACAATCCAAAATATCGTTCCATCAAACGATTTAAGCATCGTTTGATAGAACAATCAAAATATCATTCTATCAAACAATAAACGAATCATTCCAATCGAACGATGCTTAAATCATTTGATGCAAAAATATTTTTCCAATCAAATAAATATTGCAACCAATCAACAAATTAATATATGTTGCAACAAATTAATAAATTTTTTCAAATGTTGCAACTATGTTGCAACATATTTATAAAAGTTACCATCTTTAGTTTAAAGGCTGTGAATTTGAAGTCTGAGTTTGAAATAAATTTTAAAAAAATAAAATCAGGTGAAGTTTGAATGGAGTGGAGTTTGAAATAGCGGAGATTTAAAAATATAATGGGGCAAAGTTTGAAATGACGGAGTTATAAAAAAAATATAACCAAATGAAATTTAAAAAATATAATGGGTGGAATTGTTTAAAAAAAATAAAAAAAAAAAATTCTCACCCCTTATTTTTCTATCTGATCAACATATATAAAACATTTATTTGGTTAATTTATGCATTTATGCATCTTTTTGCATGTGTATTTGACAATGTAAATAAAACCCAAACAATTGCTAAGGATTTATTGTGCCAGTACTAGTTAATACTAGTAAAACCTTCTTATATAATAATTTAAAAAGTATTTTGCGAAATGGTAATCATATAATGATATAGCACAGTAATTATTCTACTCTCAATGCTAACCTCCGTTCCTGTGATCTAATTTCTATCAAATTTAGCTTGTTTTGAAGCCCTCGATGAGCTGAATCTGATCGCTTTGGTTTTGTATTTATACAACCTCTGGGTAACGTTATGACGATGATCAGAGTTATGATGTAATCATAATATCATAATATTAATTTTGAGAGTTTATGGGTAGCTATGTTTTCTCACATATAATCGTTCTAATTTCTCATTTTCTTTAGGTTCACAGAACCTGAAATTAGTATTCTGTCTCATTAGATTTCATTCAACTTTCTTTGCTCCATTTTTGGTATTAAGCCCTGTTCAAGATCTTTTCATGATCCTTGTTAAAAATAATTGCCTTTACAATTTCTTGAATAATTTCCGATTCTACTGATCCAATTTCTATCAAATACAGCTTGTTTTGAAGCCCTCGACGAGCTGAATTAAAAAAGAAATTATAATGGATGGATAGAATTTAAAAATAATAAAAAAAATTGGAACGAGATATTTAAAAAATTATTTATTTATTTTTTTTTTAAAAAATAATAATGAAATTACTAAAAATGATAAAAATAATTAATCTGATCAATATGCATAAATACTAGATAAAGGAAATAAAACTGATTTGCATCTGATTGACATAATTAAGATGTAATAAATTAACTTA